CTGTCCAAAGCATCCTGCTTCTCCTTCAGGACAATCTCCACCTGGTTCTGTTGTTCTTGATGGTGCTGCAGCTCCTGCTGCAGCTGCTCGTTCGTAAGCATTGCTCGCGCAACCTGGTGAGTCAAGGGCAAATCCACACGAATAACCGCAGCAACACTTCTACCTACTCCACAGCAGAACACCGAGGCTAAGTAGTTCTGTCGAAAGGCAACTAGAAAATTCAGTAGCCCAAGGATGAGCCAGCAGCTGGTTGAGCGGTGCGCGTCTGCTGCTGCTACGGCACTACGTGAAACGCAGCCGCTAAGACTTGAAGTGCGCGAAAAGGCAAGCAACTCGCCCCCAGCCACTTCTTTTACCTTTCTCTCGGGAATCAATGCATCCTCCCCACCTGGATCTCCGCCTCCTCCCGTGCGGCTTCGGCAACTGCACTGCCTGCTGCTTCGCGCTCAGATGCGGCCGCCAGCCGCTCTTACAGCTCCTCCGGAAGCGCCTTCTGCTCTGGCAGCACTGGCTGGTGCTTCGCGCTCAGATGCGGCCGCCAGCCGCTCCTGCGGCTCCTCCAGAAGCGCCTTCTGCCCTCTCTTGCTGCAGGTTTGCCAACTGCTGCTCCGAAGCAGCGAGCTGCTCCTGCCATCCTTTCGACTGCTGGGGCAGCTCGTCAGCGCGTAGTTCATTTGTTCATTTTGATAGGGTGCCTGCTGGAGCAGCTCCTGGTTGTGGTACAACTCCAGCTGAGTCCTGCTCAGGTCTTGCTGCACCTGCTACCGTTTCTCGTAAGCCAAGGCCAGCTGTCCCTCCAAATCGGCCGCTCGAGCACAGCTCTCCTCCATGCGTCTGCTGAGTTCATCGTGCATGCGCTTCAGGTTTGTCAGACTCTCCTGCTGTTCCATATGCGCTCCTTGCAGAAGTAGCTGCTGCTGCAGGAACGGCTCGAGAGATCCATGCTGCTGCTGCAGCTGCGTGATGAACTCTACAACATCCGCATCGAAGTGCGTGTCTTCCTCCTGCAATTGTCTGTTTCTCTCCATCTGCTCCACTACCATCTGTGCCATCCAAAGAGCGGCCCCCCCTAAACCACTGCTACTTGGAGCACCAATAACATTCGCAATTAAATGGGCATATTCAAGTCCCTTCTTCCTCCGGAGCAGTACACGGGCCCACTAATACCTCTTCTCAGAGTTCTGCGTCTGTAGAAAATTTCTTTCTCAAGTTGCTTTGCATCGGCGCTCTTTTCAGGTATTCCCAAGCTGAGGATACTGCTAGGGAGGAAACGCGTCTGATTGTGGGGTGAGCTGCGGCGCTTGCAAGGGCAGGAAACGAGATCTACACAACTGTACAGGTGTACAATGGCAGACTACCGTACAGCAAAACTACCCCGGATATTCTATTAAAACAGTTAAGATGGATGATTCATGGACAGATTGCTCTGCTGCAGGGGGGAAGGCCAAGTTTGGAGTGGTATAGGACTTAAGTACCCCTTGATTAGTAAGAACTGCAGCGTCTCACGAAAGAATGAAAGTTGAAGGGGTGACGAGCCGTCAAGTGCGCCGGGAATCAGGCGAAATCTAACCTACGGGTAATGCAAGCCTATTGACTGCGGAAATAATTCTGGAGAGATACCGATTCAAAATCTAAACAGAAGAACAATATTGGAAGCCGCGTGGCTTCAACACCCCGGAGTGCAGCCGATAAGGCTCGAGGCTCCCATGTAGTAGGAGGCCAGCACCAGCTGAAAGTATGGTTTTTTTCTGTTCGGCATCCGTAGCTTCGCTCTTAATCACCACGGCGTGCCCCAGTGGTTCCTTTGTGTACTCGTATGAACAGCAGGCGTTCGAGATGATTTTCCGCAGAGCAAGTTTGCCAGGCCTAAGTTGGTCCAAAGAAGCTGCGCCTCTACATAAAGGAAATTGGAGTTGGTTGTGCTTTGGTAGGGCCTAGCGGCTACGGGATGCAGAGCTTAGGTTCGCCAGGCGAGCAACCACAACGTGTCCTGGAAGCTTCCTTCCTGATCGTCTCCCTAGCTTCTGGTGGTACCGCATGAAGTAGTATCAGTGAATATACTATATTGATTATCTGGTCATTATTACCTTTTCACACTTCAAAATATTTGTATGGTTACTCTGCTTATACCATTACTAGGGAAAGGTTAACCTAACTCCTTCCCGGGTGCTCGATCTGCCGTCAGCGGTTCGAGTGAGCCCGGCGCGCGTGGCAGTTCTCAGTGTTTCCGAGTAGACAAACCAAGTATCACGGGGTTTCCCACTGAACAAGACTGCATTAACTACTAAAAGCAAAAAACAAGACAGAGTATCCTTGTGGATTACTGGAGGCGCTTGCCGTTTGTGGGTGACCTCAAATATCCAGAAGCCGCGTCAGCATCGTCTACAGGGCTTTATCTGCAGCTGTAACAATGGGTTGTAGTTTAAGTTGTTCGCCTGGTAAAAGACGCCCTTATTTGGGAGTTCATGGGGGGCATCGGGCTCTTGTCATCACCGATCCCCCGAAACCAGGAAGGATAGGTTGGGCCCAAACCACCACCGGCGAAATGACTATCCTCACTAGGGCTGGCGTTCAGAGCTTTGAAGAATGGATGCGTACGAAGGACTTCAAGATGATCATGCCCCCTTTGGCTCCACACCCCGGAGTGCCCTTCCTTGCTGGAGGAATGCCAAACATCAACTTGCTGAACAAAATGTACAACATTGTGCCCGAGGGGCAGCTGAGGGCTCGCGTTGCAACGCAAGAAGCAGGAAGCTCTCTCTTTTGCTCTCCAAGGCAAGAGGTACCTTTTGTCGTGTACGAAGATTGAGCTGCAGGGTGACGGTGTGGAGTACGTAGCTGGCTGCATATGAAACAACCTGCAGGGCCTTGCAATGCTCCTCGACCCGTACGAGCAACGGCCCTCTTTTTAACGTAAAGCAGCTGAAGATATATGAGATGCTGCAACTTCAAGGGGCACACGAACTGCAGCGTACGTTGGTGAATTAGGTCGAGAAGGATTTGCTCAGAAGGGCCGCCAAAGCTCAATTCTGTGAGCTCTTCTTCTTCGTAAAAAAATGAACCAGCCCTTTACAGGGAAAGGAGACGAAAGAACCTTTTTGCTGGTGTTAATATGCCTTCGGGGTCGAATTTCGATTTTCTGTTGTAAATAATTTCTACACGGAGGATGCACAAAACGACAGATTGTAAAGTAAGCTGTGGATATTGCGATGTACAACTGTTAGTGTAGGCCATTAGAATGAGAATCCAACATTTGTAGACTTAGCTCTAGGCACTTAATATTTGCTGAGGAGAAATGAGGCGTTATTCATGCAGCATAGGTGCATAGGGGGCTTTTCCCCCTATGCACCTATGCCGCATGGCTTGGGTTGGAGCGGCTGCACGCTAACACGGCGAGTGACGCTGCTGTGCGTTTGCCGTTGCCTTCGTGGGGACTTCCCTAGTCACAAGGGCACCTGAAGACGGTTTCTGGTTCTCGCGAAGCATTGCTCAATGCAGAGAAAAAACTACTTTTTTAATTGCAACTTTTTGGCGCACCAAGGTGGAGTCAGTGCCAATCATCCACCAACCTGGAAAATACACAGCGCTGTGAATAAGGGCACAAAGCGCACCGCCTGATCGCCCAGATAACGCATTGCATATCTTTCCTGGATCTGTGAGTATCGTGCTGTAATGGCACATTCGAGCTTCTGCACAAGTGTTATCAACTAGCAGGAGTTTTTCGCAGAACCCTTTTGATGCCAGCTCACTGTTGTCTGCATCGCTCGGGCACAGGAAGATGGTTCAAAGAGATGGGTACCCACTAGCACTAGCTATTGCGTCTCCCTACGATGGATCTGGGGAGTACTAGGGGATATCACTAGGAAGAGGGGGCCACTGGAAGGCCAACTGACCAGGGTAAAACTGGCCCCAGGACCACAGCAGTTTGTGAGCAGAGGAATGATTGGCCGCCCTGTTTATTCTGGTGCATGGTGCATGCAGGGAGAGCTGCCTGGCGCGGAGGGTCTAAGCAAGTAGGTAAAGGGCCTTCAGAGCTAATCGCACTTCTATGCTTGCGGTTGGGAGTGCCGCCCAGGGGTTTCGGACCTCTGCTTATCTAAGCAGACGAAGAAGCCCAGGAGCCGTTATGTCATTTCCTTATATCCTCCATCATGCCTAAACTGAAAGGGGGGAGTTCATCCCCAGTTTATAGCGCCTCGAGCAGGTTTATATGATGCATACATTACCAGAAGCAACCGCACCAGAGTACGTAGATATCTTCGGAGTAGGCTCGCATCTTGAAAGGATAGTCCTCGGTCTTCGGGGCGGACAGTCGTAAGCAGTTGTGGAGGCAAAGTACTTAAGATGAGTCTCCAAGAACAGCTGACCTGCCGGCCTTCTTCCATACCCGCTGGGAGTGCCACGGAGGTGCGGCCGATGGGTAGCACTTGGCGCGTCATGGGTTGCAGCACGCCTTAGTGCAACTCCTGCTTCAAGGAAACCCCAGATGTAACGAAATTAAAGCCTTTTGGTGCATGTACAAACTCAGCAGAACATTGACAGGCCGTTACGGGGCCCTCAGCAGCCAAACCGCGCAGCATATGTCTTTGTAACGGCACCTACCGGGTTGTTCTCAAGTGTGTGGGCAGGTATAAAAGGACCTGTACATTCATGCATGATTTAAAGCGGTTTGCGGCAGCAAGCGGCAACGATCAGAAAGTAGCTAACACAGCTCACCCTCGTAGGTGGCGGGGAGCTGGCCAGGATCGTAGTTCCTTCACAACTGGGTAAATTCCTTACGCAAAGCCTCTCCCACTCAATCTTCTGCAAATTTTACCTAGATTAAGTATAATCACATTTTAGGATTGAGTGGAAGGGCTGGGAGTTCGGTCCCCCGAGCCCAACTGTGGCACTTCAATGATCTGCCCATGCCGGCGATGCGCCGACAACGAAACCCTGTTGCAGCGCACTACAATATTTGGAGCCAACAATGAAATCCTTTTGTCACAGATTAACTTATAAACGTTACATAATAAAGGTCTATTCATAGTTTTCATCCCCTCAACGACGGTTTTCACTTCGGAACACCCAGGTTTTGTACTATCTAGCGAAAGCAATTCGAGTGGGCCTGCTCGCCAACAGATAAGGCGCACGTTCAAAGATCTTTTCTACATTGAACTGCAACAGCGACATCTGCAACAAAATCTCAATTTACGTCTTGCTTTTCCCAGCATCCTCCGCCTGGCTAGCTCCGCGCAGGTGCTGCGAGGTCGCATCGAGGCGATGAACTTTCATTGCTAAGGGCAACCAATCTCTTCCCATAATCATCTTATATTACTCCCTATTAATTCAGATTCATTCATCACTTCATCAATCTTCCAGGTATGAGGGTGCCTTCGGTTTTAAGCATCGTTGCCTGGGCCACCATTCAGGCGTCCGAAGCAATTCGCCTGGAGAGGAGTTTCCTAAGTAGGTCTCTCCATGCTTTCTCCTTCTTATGGGATAATTAGAAAGATGAGGCTGGTACTGTGGCAGTTGTCTTGATTTTCTTTTATCTGCTGGACTGCTCCGTTGTGTACGCAGGCCTCTCCGCTCACGCAGTAAGCGGCTGGTATTTTGTTGTCCTAGATGCTTGAAAGGAATGAGCCATTTCTGCTGCTCCACGTGGGGGATGTATGGGTATTTGGATAAGGAGAACTTTGAAGAACATGATTTCAGGCTTCATTGCTTTCGCAGTTCCAATCAGGAGGATTGTAGTGTGTGTTGCTGCGTCTTCTGCAGGAGGCTTCGGCTCAGGAGACGGCGACTCGTGAATCTCTGCAGGATGCTCTGGACAAGCTTTGCCGCGTCGAAGCCGAGGCTGCTTGTCAGAGCGGCTTGAGCCACTACTGTAATATGCCTGTATATGCGAGATACGACGGAAGAAGTAACAATGTTGACAGCAAAGAATGGCGCTGTTACGCTGAGGACGCGCTTAACTTTGAAGTCGTTCGCGCAAGTTGCGTTGACACTTGTGGCAAACTGAAAATGTGTCTTGGCGCATACGGAGGCTCATCGGCATCTTATTTATCACGCCATAGCAAGTTGTCCAGCCAGCTGGACGAATTGAAGCCCGAATATTGCAGTGCCCCTGCGCCCACTCTTCAGGAAGCTTTGGACAGAAAGTGCGCTGAGTTTGGCGAAGAAGCATGCGAGCAAGGACTATGGGCATACTGCGACGTTACAATGTACGCGCGTTACGACGTCGGAACCGCATCACAGAAGGCGCGGGAGTGGCGTTGCTATGCACAGGATGCGCTTGACTTCGATATCTCTGGCAATGGCTGTGTGGACGACTGTGGGAACTTCACATCGTGCCGTGGTGCGGTGAATGGCACTTCGTCTACACACCTGTCCCGTGTAGGCCAGCTCACGGACTTCATGAACAGCAACAGAGATTTCTACTGCCCTTCGCC